GCCTGCGCAGTCCGAACGTGCACTACAACTCCCGGGAGCCTTTGCGTCGCGCAGGGGCGGACTTCAGTTCCCAGAGGGCGTCTGGGCCGGAGGCCCTTAACATCGGACCTGGACGAGAGTGTTGCACAGCCTTCTGGGAAGTGTAGTTTAGGGGCCAACAACCTGCGCTCGGGCCCCGGCCCTCTCCCCTGTTGCTGCACGCATCTGGGTATGTGTGTGTGTGTCTGTGTGTGCATCCTGGGTTACTGCTGAGTGTCTAATTGTGGGGTATCGGGAAGGTGGTGCCCGGGAACATGGATTTGTCCTGTCAGTTTCTCCGGGTGGAGTAGGGGGGCTTTGGCCCACATCCACTTTTGCACAAATGTCTCAGGCACCTCACTGTGGGACACCAGAGGTGGTGATGGGCTTTCAAAGGGTTTCCTGGGGCCCCCGCCCCTGCGGCCCCTCCAGGAACTAGGCACCAGGGGAGGAGGTGGTAGAGCCCCAGCCCTGCTCTCAGACCAGGTGATCTTGGCCCCGTCCACCCTCAGAAGCTGGGGAGGGAGGTTAGGTATGGGTAGTGGCCCTACTTTGACACAGTGCTCTAACACTGCCACCTTCCCTGACTTGGAGCCCAGGCTCAGCTTTGGTCACAACCTGTGCCCAGGCATCCTCTGCTGTGGTGGCTAGACTCCAGTAAGTCCCCATATGAATTCTTGTCTCCTGGTAGTCACACTCTTGTGTGGTACCAACCACACCAAAGAGGGCTGACTTGGGTGAGAAAAAGGAATAGCGTGGAAATGATGGTGTGCAAGACATCACGTTAGGTCATACAGACACTGATTGCAGCTTCAGCCTTGCTCTTCTGGACCACTTGCTCTGGGGAAGCCAACACTACATCCTAAGGACACATGGCAAGAAACCAAGGCCTCCTGACCAAAGCCTGCACAAATTTGCCACCTACAGAGGGACTGATCTTGGAAGTGGATCCTCCTCCTTGGTGACCTCTCACCACCTTATGAGAGACTTTTAGCCAGAACAACACAGGAGAGCCAGATGTGTTGTGCAGTAGTCAAATCTTATTATTGTTTGAAATCACTAATTTAGGAGTAACTTGTGCAGGAATAGATAACAAATTTGGATAAAAGTAATATATATCATTAATGCAGATAACCTAATTCCAGTATTTGGAAACAGGATGCTGTGAAAACAAACACTGAAACATGGGAGTTTTGGAACCAACAAAGTGCAGGAGCCAGGAGGACTTTGAGAAGAGCGGTAGGGAAGGCAGAAATGCCTTTCAAGGGTCTGTTAGAAGAAGCCTGACAGTCCTTGAGGAGAGTTTGGATGAGAACTTAAAGGAAAGACAGAAAAGTGTTTCTGGAAATTGGAGAGAAGGGAAACTTTGTTATGTCGTGACAGAAAGTTTAGTACCACTGTCAACTGCTAAACATGGTGGAAGAAACTAACATGGAAAGTAGAAAATGTGCCTAACGAACTGGGTGATCTGACTGAAGAGGTTTCCAGCCAGACTGGTGAAGGTGTTTCCTGGCTACTTGCTGCTTCTAGTAAAATAGGAGGGGAGATAAATCTACTATTAAACAAAAAGGATCCAGGAATTACTGGTTTTGAAAACTTCCAGCCTCTCCGGATGGCAAATGATGCTGAAATGGAGAAATGGTCTACAAGCAAAGATTAAATCCAGAGCACAGTCAGGAAAACATGGTATAAAGATGAAGTTGCATGAAAAGATCATCATCAACTTAAAATGGCTTAAAGACTTAAATATAAGACAAGACACGATAAACCTCCTAGAAGAAAACATAGGCAGAACATTCTCTGACATAAATCTTAGCCATGTTCTTCTAGGGCAGTCTACCCAGGCAATAGAAATAAAAGCAAAAATTAACAAATGGGACCTAACTAAACTTATAAGCTTTTGCACAGCAAAGGAAACCATAAGCAAAACAAAATGACAACCTATGGAATGGGAGAAAAATATTTGCAAATGTTGCAACTGACAAAGGTTTAATTTCCAGAATATATTAACAGCTCATACAACTTAATAACAAAAAGCAAACAACCTAATCCAAAAATGAGCAGAGGGTCTAAACAAGCAATTCTCCGATGAAGACATACAAAAGGCCAATAGGCACATGAAAAAAATGCTCAGTATCACTAATTATCAGAGAAATGCAAATCAAAACTACAATGAGGTATCACCTAACACCAGTCCAAATGGCCATCATTAAAAAGTCCACAAACAATAAATGCTGGAGAGGGTGTAGAGAAAAGGGAACCCTCCAACATTGTTGTTGGGTATGTAGGTTAGTGCAGCCATTATGGAAAACAGTATGGAGATTCCTCAAAAAACTAAAAATAGACTTACCATATGATCCAGCAAACCCACTCCTGGGCATATATCTAGAAAAGATGAAAACTCTAATTCAAAAGATACATGTACCCCAGTGTTCACAGCAGCACTATATACAATAGCCAAGACGTAGAAGCAACCTAAATGTTCATCGACAGATGACTGGATAAAGAAGCTGTGATATATTTATACAATGGAATACTGCTCAGCCATATAAAGAATAAAATAATGCCATTTGCAGCAACATGGATGGACCAGGAGATCATCATTCTAAGTGATATAAGCCAGAAAAAGAAAGAAAAACACCATATTATATCATTCCATATGTGGAATCTAAAAAAAAAAGGAAGGAAAAAGAGGACACTAATCAATTCATTTATAAAACAGAAACAGATTCACAGGCTAGTAAACAAACTTATGGTTACCAAGGGAAAGGGGGTGAGAAGGGATAAATTTGGTAGTTTGAGATTTGCAAATGTTAGCCACTACGTATAAAAAATAGATTTAAGAAAACAAGAAAAAAAAAGATGTTCACCATCAGCTGTCAGGGAAATACAAAAAAAACCAAAAAACAAAAAACACAATGTGACCCCACTTCACACCTAGAACGGCTGAACTAGCACAGAGATAATGACGAGGGTGCGGAGAGCCTGGCAGCTGCGCACCCTGCTGCTGGGAAGCTAAACGATGCAGCTGCTTTGGAGAAGAGTCTGGAAGCTCCTCACAAGGTTAAAAATACAGGCATACCTAGTTTTACTGAACTTTCTTTTTTTAATTTAAAAATTTTAATCGAATACTGCACTTTCAAAGACATTGAGTTTTTTTTTAAACAAGTTGAGGGTTTGTGTCAACCCTGTGACAAGCAAGTCTATCAGCGCCATTTTTTCATGTCATTGCTCATTTCATGTCTCTGTGTCACATTTTGGTAACTGTTGAACTATTTCAAACCCACCACCAGCAAAAAGATTTCGAATTGTGGAAGGCTCAGATGATGGTTAGCAATAAAGTATTTTTTAAGTAAGGCATGTACAGTCTTTTAGATATAATGAGTGTTTGTTATCTGAGTGCCTCTTGTCTCAGTGATGGTTTGTGTCTCGGTGTGCCTGTGTGTGTGTTTGTGTGTGTGTATGTGCGTGCCTGGTGGGTGAGTGTGGAGAGTTTGGTTCATGCGACCCTGAATGAGAAGGACAGGTTTCTAGGGGCGCATGCCAGGTCCGGACAGTTGACCTACCCATTGTCCCCATCATGTCCCCCTAGCCCTAGACCCCTGGTTCACACTGCCCCTCCATGGGAATGGACCCATTTCTCTTTGCCAGAAAGAAGATTGTGTCCTTTGCTTGGGACCACCTAGACCTGGAGGGCAGGGGCCCTGAGGAAGGCCCAGCTCCTGCCCTGCACCCTGGGCCTTTCTTCCAACAGAGGTGGGTGGTAGGGTGAGGTGGAGTTGGGGTGGGACTGGGAAGGGGCGAGGTATCAGGGGAGGGGCCTGCAGCCTCCCCCAGCCTCCCTATCCTGGGAAGAGATGTGGCCACCCTCGCATCTGGGAGGTGGGACACCTGCTAGTGTCGAAACTCGCTTGTTGTCATGGGGAGAAACCCCGACACGTGGTGACCAGAAGTGCGAGTGGCGAAGTGTTCTCCGTGAAGGGGAAGAAGGCTGCAGAAGGAGAGCAGCGGACGGAAGGACTGGGCTTTCCTCTGCAGAAAGGGACACGCTGCAGTTCCCCTTAACACTGCCCCTGGTTGGGGGGTGGGGTGGAGACTGTGACCCGAGGCTGCAGGAGCAGGAGACGAGACCTGGAGGCGGGAAGGGAGCTTGTCCCTGGAGGGCAAGTCCAAGCCCCGGGCTCTGCAGAAGTGAGGTGGGAGCTCTTGGTTTGGAGGGTGGGGGCAGATGGGGTCCTGGTCAGACTTAGGTTTAACAGGCTGGCTCTGAGAGGGCCAGGGCCAAACCCGAGGCCTGGAGAGGTGAGGCCGGTGGGGGCACGATGGCTTCGTCCAGGGGACTGGCCCAGTAGGAAGCAGCACTGGGGTCTGAGGTCACCGGGAGGGTATAAGCAGCAGGGCGAGTCCCAAGTGCTGCTAAGACGTCAAAGATGA